AGTGCTTCCTAGCTTGTCAGTTCACGCTTCATTTACTATATACACGACGAATTCCCCGTTAGAAGTTGAATCAAATCCTCTCGTATACTTTGTTCCTTCTCTTGTACTGACTTTTCTCGAATGTATAATGATACGATTTTCAGGAATTGGAATGTAGCCAACCAAAGAAACTGGAGAAAGTGGAGTAGTGAATCACATTCCACTGGTATCCCTACCCGACCGAAACCTTAATCTTCAATTAGTAACTCACTCACTCACTCAAATTTTCTTTTTACTCCTTCATCCAAATGCGCAGTCATGAGACAGCGATAAAAACCGGCCCATGAAAGTGGATGTTCGAGAGTTGTAAAAACTGAGGCTCACTCAAAAAGTAGTTTGTTTACGGAAAATTTAGTCTGTCCCGACTGGGCGATACCCTGATCCAACAGGTGACGTGTGACTGCCGAAGTACCAACTACTTCGTGAGGTAGAATACGACCGATGGATTCGCTCAAAGTCTTGATGGATACACTTGAAGCGGAAGCGACACCAGAAAAAAGTTTTGCAGTTATAGACTGCCTACTGAAAAATCTGAAGTAAGCTGTTTATCCATTGACGCCATCTTACTTCGTCGTGTTCATTCTGTGCACTACATGGCAATGTTTGCAAATAATTGATAAGAAACGTGAAATCGTTGGAAACAGACACAAAAGTATAAAAAACACTGGTGTTTGGGTATTTTAATATAGAGAAAACTTGAATGTTCGAATGAATTCAAATGACTCTAACCTGTTTAGCACACATGATAAATGATTCAGACTAACCAATTCCAGAGACCCAAACTTCTACAAATAATTATCAAACCAAATCGATCAACTAAAAATACCAAGAAAGGCGTCATCGCCTGTATCAGCGAAAACAAACTGGTTTGAGGATTGCTAATATGTGGGCCGCCTTTAGCACTGTCAACAGATAATTCGGAGGAGCACACGAACGTGTTTTCGGTGATTGTGTTCCCACTAACACATCACCTTACCTCACTGAACCGTTTCCCCCGTCCCTCATTGATGATACTAAGTGCAAAAGACTTTTCCTCTAGTTTTCTTGTTGATATTGCTTTCATATCAACATGATTTTGGTGACTTGATGACGAAATAAATTTTTTTTTAAATAGAGATTATACGGTGGATGATCCAGTTAAACGATGATTAAATTACAATAGAACCTAAAGAAGCCTGATCGAAATTGACCAGTGTTTGGTATGGTATACAACTGGAGAGAGGATTAACTCATCTGTGGGATGATTACATCATTGACAGTTAGCTGGGAGCAGCCGGACAATCATTACATTATATTATATTTCACACACGTGTGGCTAGACTGTGCCAAACAAATCATAGTATAATAATCTTTATAAAAAAGAAAAACGTTCCACGATTTGCATGAGGGTCGAATACTGTTAGGTTGCCTAGGCCAAGGCAAGTGAATTTTCTTGAGGAATCCACAACCGGAGCCTTCGGCTAGCAGACGCCTGACCCGTAAGGCAGCGGGGAGATGTGTGAAAACCGCAATCCATTGGGGGTAGGTGTCCAGTTCATCGGAACATACGCCCTTTGGACGGGGTCAAATGTCCAAGGAGCTCAAAAAACCTTGATGCCCAATCGAGCCGGTGACTATTGCCACAACCAAGGAGGTGTGTGTGGTTCATACGCCTCGTCTTGGTTGGCTGAGGATAACTTCAGAGTTTTAGGTAATCACGGTCGCCCACTAAAGCAAGTGATCAACCTACATAGATTACACTGGTTGGGGCATATGTTACGCATGTCACCAAATAGGATACCATGGCGAGCGATGTTTGCCGAGACAGGCAGTGGATGGAAAAAAGCTAAGAGTAGTCAAACTAAGAAGTGGCTCGAAAGTATGAAAACCCTAACCAGAGGGCTGGGTCACATAGGTCCCGTTAAGCCCCCTGAATGGGGACTTCGGGATGATCGCAACCAATGATTAGAGACACTGAGTGATTTGGATGAGTGTCATAAACAGTGGCCTACGTGCATCTGCTCAATTTCTTCGCAACATGAACTTCTCCATTTTCCATTCGACTCTACTTTTAACTTTCTTGTCTTTCTCCCACTGTTCATCCAAATGGGCGGCCAAAAGACAGCAACCAAACCCGGCGCACGAAAGTGCATGGTTAATGGTTGTACAGATTGAACAGAACTGAACTGACAATTCGCTGACAAACGAGATAAGTTCTAATCGTGTGCAAACGGAGCCAACCGTTTTCAGCTTAGTCCACCGCTGAATTTAGTGCTCACTGGGGATGCCCCTAGCCTTCCTCTAAACTTTAATAGAGTATATAAGATTAGTAACTGCTCCTACTGGGTTTGAATGGGAATATGCAGACAACAGTGTCGCTGAGTGAACATTCAAACCGATAGACAGCTTTTTGAATCTATGTAATGGGGCAACAATACTTTGAAGCAAGGAAACTTGCCATAGAAAACTGCCATGAGTTTGGATCATAATGACCCCAGAACTGTGACAAGGTATAAAGTTTTTCACCTATCTTCTTGAAAACGGACAGTGACCTTCTATGACAAGGATTAGAAACAAAGTCAACTCCTATTATTTTTGGTTTTGTAAACTACTCTGTGGCTCCGGATTCAATGTGAGAATAAAAAAGATTAACTCGACTGGAATAGGGCGCAGTGGCGCAGTGGTTTAATTGCTGTATGTCACCGGCGTGCCTTGGATCCTATGGTCTGAGGTTCGAGCCCCGCCACCGCCACCGCCACCGCCACCCAAGTTTGGTGGTAAACAGCTTTGCTGTTGTCCGGTTCAATACCACGCCCAGTATAACGGAAAATTTTGTTCGTGTTTCGTCAATCCGATGCCCGGAGATTAGGTTGCCGGTTTCTATCACTGACTAGTCGGTCTTCGTACCTATGAGGTCCAATCCGTCTGTTGTTCATTACACCAATGTATAATTAAAAAAAGACTGCTCGAAGAATGAGTAAGGTGGCGCTTAAAAGTTCGCTAAATATCGAGACAATAGAATGCACTGCGTGCTGCACAGATCTACACAGGCTTTGGATGACCGAATGATTGATGCAGTGAAAATATCTCGAATCTGGAGC